ATTAAACTTATGAGCTGTATAACTGGTTCGTGATATTTGAAGTTTAAATCTGATACTGAATTCGTGATTAACAACATGGATCATTCAGACTACACTTCTAAATCAGGACTGATATTTTAAGATTTGAACAAATTTTGAGAGTAGGCGTACTCAAGTAAGCGAAGATGCAGTTCAAACTCTACCATATTTTGATTGTGCTTTGATTGTGCTTTGATTGTTATGACAAGTCACCGCCTTGATTGTTTCCGCATTGTCACTTTCATGATTTTGGGGTAACGCATTTGGTGCATTAATTCCGAACATGTCCCGCTCTGTCTCCTGGGTTGTATCCCTTTTCCATCAGACCAGTGCGAAGTTAGCAGGTTCCTAAATGACCTGTCAATAACACATTACTTTTAAACATGGAAAGACAGGTCTGTGCAATTAGGAAAACCATTCTCAAAATGACACAAGATAGTGCTCCGTGCACTCTTAAAGGAGCGGGATGAAATATATGTACAATTTCACCCGACTCTTTTAAAATCGAATGTTCATTTCACGAATTTAGTAACATCGCGATGTTAGTAAAAACCACGATATAACGATGAAAGAATAATGATGAATTTCTTATTTAGAACAAAATTAGCACTCGTCTATGCCATTAAGATTAATAGAATGCAATGGCTGGGTGTCAACGTGGTTTAATTTACATACCTTTTCTGAAAAATATCCTCTTTTTACTCGGTGGAGTTCACTGTTTAGTCGAAATCATTTTCATCTTCCCATGTTCAGGCTGATATTACAAACTGGGTTCTCGACCCCACAAACTATAATACCTGATCATGGATGGATTGTACTGTCATCATTATGGATGTCACGTGTGGACATGATTTCTCTCTATGAAGGATGATAGATGACTTGTCATTATCTTCAATGCCATGTCTTTTCTTGTAAGCTCTTCTTTCTATTAAACGCCATACACATTTGATTCTCAGATGGTTCTATTCTGATCTTTATAAGAAACATATGTTGAATGATGAATGATTGAAGAATAGTCTGGCGGTTACAGCGCATGATCAAATGGGTGTCCATTTTGTTGTTTTTTCCTCCTTGTCCTCGCTGGTGATTAATGGCAGATATCTGGCTGAGTTTAAACGTGTATTTAAACATATGTACCTCTTAATATCGTGGTTATGTATTCCACATTCGGAAAGCCCATGCCTTTTTGAAGATAGGAAGGAGGATAAACAAATTAAAGGGGTTCCAGACACATACACCCATCCCCAACCTTCGCGCAAACAGAGCTATTACTGAGCTCTGTATGTGTTTGGTACTATGCCTTATCAAATATTGATTTCAGATGTTCCTTTGACAAAGAAATATTGCATGCTTTAATACCGTAATTTGGAAGGGTAAAGCGATTTGTGCAAATCACCAAGTATGATGAATTACATGAACAAGGAAAGTTAACATTACATAATAATTAACAATAATAATGAACGTTATTTGTATAGCGCATATCACTAACACAAAGAAAGTCCCTATGCGCTAAGAAGATAAGTAAATAGAGATATAGGGCAGAATAGAAATGAACATTTATGCCTGATACATGAAAATAGTTAATTATAAAAATCGCTTCATGATGGCTATGTTGTCCTTGATGTTTTATTTGGGGGTTTTCCCGCCAAAAGAGATCAACAATTATGATAAATGACCTGAACATTAAGACACCTTTTATTGCATCGAGATCATTTCATAGTGACGATGCTATCTTTAATATATTTGTTCTTCTTCTTGACTTTCTCCGACTAAAACTAATTTAAAGAGATGATCAAGTTATGACTCAGTAACTTATAGTTACATCACGATCATGTCATAATGACTATTTTTTAATGCATGTTGTATTTTCTCCCGGCTAAAAAGATCAACAACACTGATAAGTTACTTGAACAATTAAAAAAATGACCTGTAAATGCATCAACATCACTTCCTGGCTGATTATTTTGTGTGTGATATTGTATTCTTCTCACGGCCAACAAAGATCAACAACTGTGATAAATTAGAATTACTTCAACAAGAAAACTTATATTTATATATATAAATATATCTAAACAGTGCTATCTAATCATGTCAATGTAGCGTTATAATTTGTGTTTTAGTTTACTTTATTTTAGTTAAGAAGTTATATTTTTGTGATAGTAATACATGTATGTACAGCGCCATGAGCGTCAGAGCCTGGCGGATACCGGCGCTATATAAATATCCATATTATTATTATTATATCAAGATCACTTCACAATGACCCTGTTATCTTTAATGTTTTCGTTTCTTTATTTTCTTTGTTTTTTTCTTTTCCCCAGTTTAAGAAGATCAACAGGTATGATAACTTACTCGGAATCGATAACATCAAGATTACTTCATATGACATATGACCCTGTTTTCTTTCGATTAGTGTTCTTTTTGGTCTATGATCATTAAAACAGATGATGACACTGATAACGATAGAGTTACTCTGTCGTAGACATGCTTTGTATTCTTAGGTTTTATTTCAAGGTTAATAATGACGCAGGTGCGTATCCAGGGGGGCGGTGGGGCCGGTCCCCCCCCCCCCAAAAAAAAAAGAGAGAAAGAAGAAAGGAAGAGGACGTAGAAAGAAAAAGGTATAAGAGTCGAGAACGCTACAACAAATCGTCTTCTAATATTTTAATGAAACGTCAATAGAAACTGAATGTAGACGAGGATTAAGAGTCGAGAACGGTACAACGAATCGTCTTCTTTCTCGAATAATTTTATGAAACGTCAAAGCTTCCCCGCTTCGCGCGGGAGGGGGGCAGACTGAATTCAGACAATGATTAAGAGTCGAGAACAGTACAACAAATCGTCTTCTAATAATTTAATGAAACTTCAATAGAAACTGAAGGTAGACAAGGATTAAGAGTCGAGAACGGTACAACGAATCGCCTTCTTTCTCTAGTAATCTAATGAAAAGTCAAAACTTGAAACTGAGGGAGAGGGAAACTCCCTCCCCCTCCCCCTCCCTGCACCCACCCCTCTAGGGAGCGCGCTACGCTCGCTCTGTAAGTGATTCTCGTGCTCACTACCGCCCCCCCCCCCTAAAATTAAATCCTGGCTACGCGCTTGTAGTGACGTAAGTGTTGTAACTTGCCGTAATTTTCTCTTTAAACAAACATGTTTGATATAGATTTTGTACAAAAATATAGCTTTCTTGGAAGCAAAGAAGAAACAATGATGTAATGAATAGCACGGCCGTGGGCTTAATGGAACGTCTACCCTGGTATCTAATTGAATTTGATTACAGCTGGAAAAAAGCGTGAAGTAGATAAGTAAAACTTGAGGAAAATCTGGGAGAAGAATACGATATCGCTTTCATTGTTTCTTCTTGTTTGTAGCTTCCAAGTTTAGGCTTCAATTGGTTTAGCTTTGCATGTGTGTTGATTAGTTTTTAAGTTAAGACGTTGTGATCGATCAAAAACAAGAGAGCAGTTCTTCCTTGGTTAAAATGTACAACATAGTTTGTGAGTTTCAGTTTTCTCTACAATAAAACCTGTATAATTGGAAATATTATGATGCTCAACACACCCCTGAATGGAACAGGGGAAAAACAATAATCAACAACCAAGTAGAACAGCGAAGAAGAAACATGAAAGTACTTTGGGTTTTTGGAAATTTAATACAAAACAAAATAGAAGGCCGCTACTTGAAAAAAATCATGACTTTCTTTTGCTGCGATTTTTCTCAGACCTCAATAATCTACCTATCTAGTTTATATTGTCATAAAAGTCAGTTTGGTGACCAGTTATTCCCTCTTAAGCAGACAATGATATACTATTTATAAAAATAGTATAGGGTTGACAGGCTGAAAAAGAAAATTAGAAAGAGCATGCACGGTCTGCCCATAAGAAACACATAGATCGAGTTTAATTACATATACTTAATTCATGGTCGATTATGAGTGGGTCACTACTTACTACTTTATGTTGACCATTGACCTTCCAATCGACCTTTAACCGTTCAAACAAGGAGTCACGAGCGCTACTTGATATTCATGATACACACAAATATCTTCCCAATCTTCATTCCATCTCCTCCCGACGATGGCAAACGGTCAGGTTGAGAAAAATTGAAACCCGTTCTTATGTCCTATCGACAGAGGCGTATCTTGGAGGGCGAAGCTAGTGCCGATATGTAAACAATTGTATCCATATTTCCCTTCCCATTTTCCTACGGGGAACATTTTGCGAAAGGGGCGACTCTCCGAAAACACTCCTTGCCATACGCCGATGGTCATTGACAACGTCTGTGCCCCATCAAGGATCGAAGTATCTCTTTGTTTGATTGCCTTGTCTCTTATACTCTCTTCAGAAGCATCTCACCGACAGCGTTATTGCTAAAAAAATCCTCTTGAGATGGCCCTGGCGTTTTTAAGAGGGACCACCGTAAAAGTAATAAATCAGGGATGATTTTTATGGATTTTTATGTCTTCTGAGATGACAGATTTGAGCAAGAGTCATGAATGTTTTATATGGAAGGACAGTAAATCCTCCATTGCCGGTCTGCTTCCTAAATCATCATCTCCGCTTCATCTCTAAACAAGCCATTCAGGAATCAGTGTAATATCGAGTAAACAAACACCCCATATCTAATCGCACTCAAGCCTCATAAACAATAATCTATATGCAGTTTTTAGGAACAAAACAACCCACGAATCCCCAACGCCAACCTCCTTTCTGTGTACTGTTCTAAAGCGCGTGGTGAAATAAAGTGTACCGCTATAAAAATGTAAATTATTTAAACAGAAGTATTTTTCTTACCATTAAGGTATTATCCTAATGTACTCCTACGACATATCAACCACTATTCAGTCAAATATGTCCGTAATTATAATTATTTGTGATACCATGTCCAACTCTGTAAGACCACACAGCGATTACATCGCCGTCCACTACGAATTCTTTACTTGATTAAATTTCAAATCTTCATTTTCCACGTTATACCGATGATTAACTTTCACTATTGATTTGGACTATTAAAATGATGAATTACCATTAATATTTTGATTTTAAAAGAATAATAACATTTCGAACGAAATTTCCACTCTGCAACCTAGTGTAAAACTAAACATTAAAAAAAGGCAGATGTACATACCTATAGAATTAGACCATAATTCCATATCTTTTGATATCCTTCTCATGAAACATCTGTCCAATAAATTTCTGCATGGATGAAATGTGTACACAAAAAAAAAATCCGTTCCTAATTATCGTTAATTCCCCAGTTACACCGCGAAACCGTCTCTTAACCGACAGATAATCGAAAATAAAGTGGTATTTTCACATCTGACATCTTTTACAGCAAACCTAATCAACGGATCCCGACCGTTTTGGGTGTAATGTAATTTATGTACAATCTACGGAAGTCTCGTGGTGGGTCTCGTAGGTATAACTGGGGTAGAGGGGCATGAATATTTCATCTTTGCGGTCCATCATTGTAATTAACTTTCCATTTCTACCTCTGCTTTGTAAACTCTTGTCATGTCGACATTTTACGAAATGAAATAATACGGATAATGATAACATAAAACATAAATGGCAATGATAATGGAGATGATGAAAACTACGATAGTAGTAGACGAAGTAAAAGTAGTAGTAGTAGTAGTTAGGGGATGAGGCGAAGAAGGAGGGGGAGTAGCAGTACTAGTAATAGAAGGGGATTAGAATTAGTAGTAGCAGCAGTACTAGTAGTATATTTAGTAGTAGCAGTAGTAGCAGGAGTAGTAGTAGTAGTAATAGCAGTAGTAGTAGTATCAGAAGTTGGAGTAGTAGGAGTAGGAGTAGTAGTAGCAGTAGAAGTAGTAGTAGTAGTAGTAGTAGTAGTAGAAGTAGTAGTAGTAGTAGTAGTAGTAGTAGTAGTAGTAGAAGGAGCAGATGTAGGAGTAGTAGAAGTAGTACTTAGTAGTAGAAGTAGTAGTAGTAGTAGTAGTAGTAGTAGAAGTAGTAGTAGTAGTAGTAGTAGTAGTAGTAGAAGGAGCAGATGTAGGAGTAGTAGAAGTAGTACTTAGTAGTAGAAGTAGTAGTAAAAGAAGTAGTAGTGATGATGATCGTGATGATGATGATGATGATGATAATGATAATAATGATAACGATAATGATAATGGGGCAAAACAAATATTTTCATGATGATGTTGTATAATTCTCAAATATACCTACAAATACATTTTCAATATGTCATAAAAGGCTGTCATCGTTTATTTCAATGTCAGATTTTTTTTAATCGTTATAAAACGTAAAAGCAAACTGAAATGTGAGAGTGAAAGGAATAGAAAGAGAAGGAGAGAGGGATTACAGGCAGTAGAAGATGTTATGCTTTAAAGTTCAATACCAAATTAATCTCTCCACATGGCGAGATGATGACTGTCTTAAGGGACAGAACATAATATATCGGTCGGTAATATCCCCGACAGAATTGATACAGGCAGGCGCGGATCCAGGATTTCTTAGGGGAGGGGGCCCAACTTTTTTTTTTTTTTGCTCCCGAAAATTTGAAAATCGCGCCGGCCGAAAAGTCGCTCAGTGGGGGGGGGGGGGGGGGTACAGAGCCACAATTGTACAGAGCGCAATTTTTTTTTTTGCTCCTGAAAATTTGAAAAACGCGCCGGCCAAAAATTCGCTCAGTGGGGGGGGGGGGGGGGGGGGGGGTAGTGAGTGAGCACATTTTTTTTTTTTGATCCTCAAAAAAATTCAATTTACACCCCCCCCCCCCCCTTGAGCGCCAGGGGGGGGGGCCCAACCCCCAAAAAAGGTAAAAATCACGTGATTTTACATGATTTTTTTCTCAAGGGTGGGGGCCCGGGCCCCCCGGGCCCCCCCCCCCCCCCCCTGGATCCGCCACTGGATACAGGAAAGTAATATTTTCAACCGTTAGAGTACTAAAGAAGGAGATTGAAATGCCTCGTTAACTGTTCTAAAAGGCGGAAATTCAATAAAAGTCGGCTGAGTGAACGGGTGTTCTACCTTTTTTCTAGAACAATCTATAACTGATGCTATGTTTTTCCAGCTAGTCCAGATGTTTCCAGAATATTTTATGATATAATCTCTTTCCGCCGCTCTATCTTTCTCTGTCATTATTGAGGTGTGCGTGTGTTGTGCGTGTGCGCGTGTGTGCGTGTGTGCGTTCAACCCTCTCACTCTCTCTCTCTCCCTCTCTCTCTCTCTCTTCCTCCCTCCCTCCCCCTCTCTCTCTCTCTCTCTCTACAGTTTGTTCTTTAATTCTCTCCCTTTCTTTTAATTCATTTCTCTCTCTGCCCCCATTGCCTCGTCTCCTTCCGGATATCTCATTTTCACACCGTACCTCTCCCCTCGTTCTCTTTCAATTTCTCTCGTTTTTCCATCTAACACCGACATTTTGTATAAATTAATATTGGAATATTACGCAGTAGCAAAAAACACCTGTGTAGAGAACACGAAGTGCATCATTTTATCAACCGTTTCCTTATCCAAGGCCAAGTCCTTTATTGCTGTTATTAGGTGGTCTGTCAACGACAGATCACCTATTGTTTTCGTCAGAATTTTCTTTCTTTCTTTATTTATTTATTATTATTATTATTTATTTTTATTTATTTCTTCACACTTTTTTGTTCACAGGATAACTCAAGATCGGTTCAATCAATTTCCTTCAATTTTGGCACAGTCATAGGCCATTGTCATGAGACGTGACAGTAACATTTTCAAGGTCATCAAATTTTCATGACGTCATCCAGGCGCCATTTTGTGTTTTTTTTGGTACTTTTTACTCATGATCATATCTTCATAACGGAAAGGCATTTCTCATTCATATTCATCATGATTAAGGTCAATATCCGTCCGGTCAATTTCAGGTCAAAAAACGCGCGCGGATGCGTACGTCCGCGCGTCAGCGCGCGCGCAAAAAATAAAAATGCTCCAAATCGTCTCTAATTAATTTTGCATACGTTTCAGGCCATTTCAAGCATTTTGCCAAAAAAACGCGCACACGCGGATGGGCGCGCGTTTTCGCGCGTGCTGATATTTTGCAACATAGAATCGCTGAATTTTTTCTGTCATCATGTTTGACACATTTTTCCAAGCATTTTGATACCTTGTTCACCTTTTACTGACCAGTAATAACGGAATGAGCGTCCGTTTAAGATAATGTCCGTGCGTGCGAGCTCTCGTAATACATAGCATACATGGGCAAAAACATGCCTATACAAAATCCATTGTAGCGCTTTAGGATGCAAGTTGAACCCAATTTTTTTTCCATATTTTGATAGAGTATGAATTGGAAATATGATTTCATGTCTCATTTGACCCTCAATTAACTCATGACGTCATCATAATGGCCTCCCAACTCAAAATTTCAATTTGCATATTATGACGTCAGCAGATTTCTGGAAAATAGACTGTATCTCTGTCAATATTGATCAATTTTCTTTCAAATTTTGATATGATCTAGCTGAGACAATTCTCTACAAATGCAGTCATCACGATATTTCATTTTGACAAAGGCATCATGGCGTATTTTTGCGATTAAAGGAGGCATGTCAATTTTTCACATTTTGCGTGTATTCTCTATGGGACATGACTTTTTCTCAAAACTGGATTCTACATCCTGTCTTTTGCGAGCAATATCTCCGTCGTTTTAGCTTTGTTTACGCTGAACTTTGAGTATGTTGTAGCTGAGACGATAAGCTATCACAAGTGTGCCCTTTATTTTTCGATCAGATGCCGGGATCATGCTCATATTTCAATTACAAAGTGGGATTTGTGCATTCCATTTTCCGTTTACGTGTAATCTCTATGGGAAATGTTTTGGTATATCGGAAACGCACTTGACTTCCGACCTCGAGGTCCCTGGTTCGAGTCCGGGCGTCTCCAACAATTTTTTTTTCTTCACTTTTTTTTCTTTTTGACCGTTTCACTCTACCATCTCCTTTGAATATTAAAACACGTACAATCGCAAATAATGTAATAAACAACCATATTTACTTTATTATTACCCTATTATCACTAGATCCATTACTTTTTGCGTGTAATCCTTATGGGAGATGACTTTTTCTCAAATCTGGATTCTACATTCTTGTCTTTTGCGAGCAATATCGCCGTTATTTCGGCTTGATTTTTGTTGATTTTTGAGTATGTTGTAGCTGAGACTATATACTATCTAAATGTTCTCTCATTTTTTTCAGTCTGATGTCATCGTGGTCTGTTGATGATAATCATCAACATCATCATGATCATCATCATCATCATCATCGTCATCCCCATTACTATCAAGATCATCATCATCATCATCATCATCATTGTTTACATGTCTATATTAAACTTCTCCCTTTCTCAATATAGTAAATATTATAATACATCATAAGACTTGAAGACAGACCACCTAATTCGTCCCCATGACGAATTAAATTTCTAGTTTTCATTGTTATTTTGTCACTTTAACTTGCATTGTACAGTTTATAAGTTAACATATACGCCATGCACAATAATTTAAATCAGAGTAAAAAACTATCCACGTTACTTGTTACTTCCTTCATAGGGCATGTATGGCTGCAATACACCAAAATCGTGTTTGGCTGCCACTATCTTTCAAAAAGTACAATGAACTTAGAAACGTTAGGAAACATTGATTGATGCGGTATACATCGGTATGTGACCAACGATCTGTTTAAACATCAGAAGAGCTTCTAATATAAAACACGATATGATACAAATATGTGATTCTCAGAAATTAATCACATTTTCATTGTAATTGATATGCCTTAGCACAACTAATACGATGGTATTGAGCGCAAGTAAAATAACAATGGTGATTTTGAAGGAGACCCTGCCTCGTGCCCTGTAGTATTTCTCGGTAAAATACAGTCAAGCCAGCTTTCATCTCATTTAAAGATGAGATTGCACAATCATTTTCACATAATCATCCTTTTTGTCCTTGTAATTTATACTCAGCGGTACAGGTAACATTATGTTCATGATTTTAACCATCACAAATGAATGACACATATATTGTGAACTAACATGACTCGCATCGAGAGGCAGTCTTTTTTCTTTGTAATTTACACGCAGAGGTACAGCTGACATCACATATAAAAGATACCTAAATGCGAGCTAATATGACTCGCATCGCGGGCTATTTCTTCACTAAAATGCACTCACATTCCATTGTTATCACATTTATACATGATAACGCACAAGAGAAATCCTTGCTTAAAAGGTTTTAAGAAGTTAACGATCATGTGAGATGCAAATTCTTGGTGCTGATGCTAGATGTGACATTTGAGAATACATAGGGGGAGATGACCACTATTTAAGGCTGCAAGTATACATACGTCAGTATTTTCCATGAATCTAATGCCCGAGGAATAGCGGTGTCATTTCGATTCTGTTGCCACCTACGCTATCTACTTCCCCTCCCCCACCCTTTTTTGTCTCCCCCCCCCCTCTCTCCCCCCCCCCCTCTCTCTCTCTCTCTCTCTCTCTTTCTCTCTTTCTCTCTTTTTCTCTCTCTCACCATGTTTTGTTGCAACGTGTGGTTGGTGGGTGCTTAAAAGGATCAATTCCTTGATATGCACCTTGCACCAATTGCTTCACAAAGTCAGATTCATAATTTGAAAGCGGACCTTACAAAAAAGACTTAATAAACATGATGGGCCAATGAATTTAAAAATATTCTGGGGTATACAAAAATGAGATAAATTATGTCCGAATGATGTGTATTATTTGTTTTATAAGATGATTTCTTATTAGTTTTATAAAATAATGTTTTATAACATGATTTAACAAATGACCGGTCATTAGTATAAAAAAAAATGAAGTGTTAGGCAAAATAAATGCCTGGTCACGTGCACGCTCTCAACCAATCATTCGATTAGGATCCGCTTCATCATCTTATCAAACTTATTATACACGATCATGGACATTTCTGACGTCAAAAGGCAAGGCTAGAAACGGGGCTAGATTATGCTAATATCGCTTTAAAAAATAAAAGGATTTTTTAAGACCGGGCTCCGGGAAAAGGGCGACGAGCTTGTTTCTCGGCAAATTCCACTTTGCTAATCGTATTGATTTAGAACTTCACAGCCAATACCAATGCTGCGATCGAAGCGATGGAAGACATTACTTAATACTGCAGGTCGTTTATTGCGACAAGCTCTACTTTCACCATGCGATTAATTTGATGAATTGGCTTACCTGGGAGCCACATCTTCGCAATTTTTGGGCACTTTAAAGAGTTGAATTCACCACGCAAGCCTGATTCAGACTCCATTCTCTTTTCATTCATTCATTCGATTACGAAAATGAGGCCAGGGGCCCGTTTCATCAAACGTCTGACTTACGACAATAACAAGTTTGATATCTATAACAATTCTAATTACGACTATGGTAATCTGCGATAGAAGTGGAAATCCGTTAGATAAAACTAATATCAAGTTAATATAGGCAATGATTAATTGATAGTTCGCGAACGAGCCTAATTGCACTGGCGCTTTTTTGTGTGTGCAAAACATATATATACGTCGTCTGCGCGATCGAGTACGAGTACAAACTTTCACAAACTTGCAATACCAGCGGCTGTGATTTGTTAAAGAAAATGTATTTAGACGCTTTATATGTTTAATTTACTCTCCAATACTGTTCATGAGATTCAGGAATCATTACTGCAGTATTTTTTGTTGTGAAAATAAAAAGGTAATCTCAAACAAAGTAATAGTATGTGTCAAACCTCTGGATGAAAATCCGCTGTATCAATGGACTATCTAGAGGACGATCTTAATCGTGATCAATGTAGAAGATAAAGGTCCACATGTAGTCCAAATGATCCTTCTCCTGATAGTAATATGACAAGAAAAAATGTACTTTACAGCACAATGAAAACCCTAGATGGTGCTTAGGATGCTTATATGATGATGATGTTGATAATGATGATGATTCACAGCATTCATTTGGCGCCATATTTTGTTGAAAACATTCGAAAGTGGCAAGTCGAGAGAAAAAAAAAATCAGGAGCAAACTACCAGTCTGAATCTGAATCCGAAAGATAAAAATAGCTAAACACTCCTGGTGGAGAAAAAAGAGTCACTTGGTCAAACTAAAGCTATAACAGAAACTCTGCCAATGTCAATAGCTAGATGTGAAACCTACACCTTTGGGGTTCCAACTCCGGTTAGCCTTAACGTTCAGAAAGCCCGCGTCTCAACCAGCTAAACGAATGGTAGACGATACCTTTAACGCTGCTGCGTGCATTTCATCTCAATCTTTCTTGGTATACGGGAATTATATTACCATTCATTTATCACATCTTACATGAACACCAGACATTAATCGATTTGGCGTAGTGTGTTACCTGAAATTTGTCCTCCTACGCTCCCACATCTCATTCAAATGTCATGCTTCTCGAGGCTAATGACAAAGGGGGTCGATGGCCCCATCATACTACATTGATCAAGATTCCCAAACGTTTTAACTTCTGGAGATATGAACATAAGGTATAGCTAACTTGATTTTAATCTTCTTTAGCTTATTGTTGCTTGGGCAGATGGTTCTTCATAGATTTTGTTCCCACTGTCATTTTACCGCACTTCCATATTGAATGCATACCTTCTCATGCACATTCAACGTCGATGCTTTTACATAGAGGAGATCGTGGGACATTACAGGGGAATATCTTCTTTAAATCCAAGTCATCAGTCTTGTCTGGTCTCGTTCCGATCATTCATTTATCAAATATGTTATTGTTTTTCTTCAAATGACTCATCATATTCATTTTGCTTATAAATATCGTCTTCTTTCTTGGAAGTTAACGATACATTGGAAAACATTTCGGAGAAAGAATACCGTAAAAGTAGTTCCTACGCCAAATAAGCGTATTATATTGTCGAAGCTATAAATCACTGCTACGAAACGAAAAGGAAAAACTAATTCCAAATTGTAAAGAAAACAAAGAGAATGTCGGCTTGTTTTCTTTTCTTGACGTAAATGATTAATCTATTGCCCGCATTAGTTTTAATAATAAATATTTAATTGCAAAAAAAACCGTTACAATTTCGCGGAACCCATAAATATTACCTTTAAGAAATTAAATGAAGTCCTCTTTCGAGATTGTAGCGAAAATTTAATGTATTTATTTTTCTCGGAGGAGATACTAAATAACTTAAATGAGCATATTTATTTTATTCATATACAAGACGATCCTAACATCTGGTAGAACTTTTATAACACTATCATGAAATGAAATATCCTGCATTCGAAATTTCGGGTAAAATATTGTTTTCTGGACAAAAACAGAGTAGCCAAACGTTAGTCATTACAACGCCTAATAAGAAGGAAAAAAGGAGACACCTAATTCATCATATATTTCAAAAATTGTTCTTTGCTGCTATTGCTACAAGCCGGTCTGTATCGATAGTTATCATGTCTCACAAAACAAACAAGGCGGTCTCTTTTAGAATCCAACTGACGATATCATATCAGAATTGTGTTCGTTTTTAAAATGTCTACTTCCTAGACGAAAGGCAAACGATGTCTTCAAGCAAGCACAGTCTCTCATGTCTTTTCCCATGTGTCTCTAATTATAAGCTGGAGGGGCGCTTAGACTTTGTCGTAATCTAATAGCCTATTTTCCGACGACATTACATCTATTTAGGAGGGTAATGACGTTAATCGACCGTTCTTTACGCAAAGAAATTTGATTAAAATGATATATGATCTAAGTATCTTTTTATTCAAGACATGTTTTCCTCAAAACAGATAATCGTTTGCATGTTGGATAGCTCAATGTCGACTTTTCGTCTTCGCAGCCTCATCAGGTGCGGATCCAGAATCGTCAGGAGGGGCAATTTTCTTTTTCCCATACATTTTTCTTTACCGAGATTAAGGTTTCCTTGGATATCTGCCTGCCTACTCATGCTCGCTAGGGGAGGGGGCAGGACGCAAAGACATCAATTAAGCATCGAAAATACGACTTCTGGAAGATTTGGAGAAAAACAAGAGATATTTCGCGGCCAGAATTTCTATCAAGGAAGTATCTTTAAAAAGGCCTCAATTGTGCCGTTTCTGCGTTTTTTGTTATAGGAGCAGCCCTTTGCCCTTGGACGCATCTTCAAGACAGCTACGCTGAACACAATTTCACATAAAGATTTTGAATAGACCTACCTTTAAAGAATCTGTAGATCAAGTGCGATGCAGCAGTAGATGGGGCTCAAAATGAATTCCAAGTGCTGTTGAGGTTTGAAAGAGAGAAATATTTGAGAGATATTAAAGAACCAATTACATAAGTACAGTAGACAAAGATAACATTTGTTCGGGGGAATTTGAAAGGAAGGAAGGGAATTTGAAAGGAGGTCCCGGCATGTGCAGAAATAATGAACGCATCTAATTTTGGACCCATGTGGAGAATGTCTCAACCTGATAGATAAGTGGTTATAATTATTATGTTCATTCAGTGCTTAGTGAGACTGACTGTCTGTCTGAAGCTCTGGAAAGGGTGGGGCGGAGTGCGGCAACATTCCATTTTTTGTGGGGATGTGCAGTTATAGTTTGATAGAGATGTTTGTGATGTTAAAATGCATTCATATAAAAGATGATTTTAAATGCATTCATATAAAAGATGATTTTAAATGCATTCATATAAAAGATGATTTTAAATGCATTCATATAAAAGATGATGTTAAATGCATTTATATAAAAGATGATGTTAAATGCATTCATATAAAAGATGATGTTAAATGCATTCATATAAAAGATGATGTTAAATGCATTCATATAAAAGATGATGTTAAATGCATTCTAATAAAAGATACCGGGTGGTATGAAGTCATCATACAACAATCTGCATGAAACAATGAAAAGATTTTTTTCCTGTAGCTCGTTACATGTTAAATGGAAAACTGTGTTTTGGCGGCCACTGGGAATGTGTGCGCGAGCGTGTGTGTACGCGCGAGTGTGGGGTGTGTGTTTAACTGTGTGTCCAACTGATTCTCAATAGTCGCCCAAATTACACAGTTAAACTTCACATCAAGCTTAATGATTCGAGCATGATGTGTTCTGTACTATTGACCGGTGAGCTAAGGAAAGAGATAGAGAGAGAGAGAGTAAGAGAGAGAGAGAGAGTGAGAGAGGGAGAGAGAGAGAGAGAGAGAGAAATGGAGAGAGAGAGACTGTAACTGCAATATGAGAAATGATTCTTCTTATCACCCATTACGTGCGGCCGAAAATTGTCCTCCATCGAGAAAAAAAAGACGCCGTTACCTCCAGGCAATGTCTTCTATCCAATAAAACATTAGGGATTCGTCAGCAACATTGTTATTGCCAATAAAATTTCGACTATGGATACACTTAAGTCGAATATTGCCAAAATTGAGGCATTAACTTGCGGTAATCGATCAGATACAATGAACTGTGCCGGTGTTGACGTCATATAAGAAAGTCATCGGGGATCCCTTTATTTTAACAACACAAAGATGTAGTAAGATGTGGACAGCTGATGTTGTTATGCCGAAAGTAAAATGCCCTTTCAAATGTGATGATTTCTCTACAATCCTTTACAGAGTGTTACCGCATTAAGGACTTAGAGGAATATAGAATCTGACATTTGTTGAAAGTAAACATAATTATAGTCACATGTTGTCGCCCAAGGGGTAACGTGGAGCGTGACGGAGATGGTGTCTTAGAGAGAAAGGAGGTGAGAAACAAGAAAAAAGGAAAGAAAGGATGAGACAAAGAAAGAGTATATGCATGGAAGAGATTTTTACTCAAAGTGAAAGGGAGACGGTAGGACAGATAGGAGGGACAGAGACAGAGACAGAGCGAGGGGAGAATGGAGAGGAAGGAGAGAGGGGAGAGGGGAGAGGGATGAGAGAGAGGTGGGGGGACGAAAACATGGTATGCATGGACGTGGATCACTTTCGCGCTGTACTTTTCACACTGCCGAACACTTTATTATACTAGTAGAGATCGATATTGAGTACAGCGAACTACACTCCAACGTCTTATTTGAAAAGAAGTTCCTATTTTGTCTAATGTGTTCGTTCGTTCGTTTGTGTCTCCTTAGATCAAGATTAATATAAAGTTCCTAAATTAAGTTAAATTAAATTAAGTTCTTCCCTCGCCCGATGGCTGCGATGGCCGTCTCATTTACAAGGGCAACCCGTTCCGCCCCACTGCAAGATGTGGCCCATCGTCTGAGTTCCTCCACAAGTCGCAGAGAGTACTATCTTCTTCAAATGTGTCATTGTGTGGCTACAACCCGCTAACTCCACAGTGCAGGTCTCTTGAGCTTTCAGACAACTTTGATTAAGGGTTCACTGGGCCAACGGCCCATGAGGCTGACCTTCTTTTTTATCTTCTCTTACATATTTCTATGTTTTGTCGGTCTCGTGGGATGTCGGTCTAATGGGATGACCCCGGTGGTCTAGTTATGACACTCAAATGTGAAGAATAAACAGAGCGCCAAAAATATTTGATCAAAATAAGAGCCTGATCATGATCATCATTTGGTCTCTGAGTTCTTTTACAGCAACACTAGTTCAATATTATATCTTCGGCTTTATTAATCGTGTCCAAATCAAATTAACCTTTTGCCTTTCATGACAACACACACATACACACACGCACCCAAGCACATAAATCACTTATAAAAATAACGTTTCTCTGTTACGTATATAGACACAGCATATTTACCTCTCCGTTTTTAACATTACCCAGATGGGTTTGTTCTCACATGATAAATTATGTTTATTCTTTTACCTGGATGTGTTTGTTCGTCGGCTATCTAATGAGAGGAAAGTCATGTTTGCTGTTCATGCCGAAAATGCAAACGCCGAACCCTAAAATATCATCACACCTTTTATTAATTACAGGAGAGACACACGAAGGACTTACACCAGGCAGGTCACCTCTTGACCACACTTTGCTTCAGGAGAGAGAGAGAGAGTGAGAGTGTGTCTTGTTTAAAGGGCAATCTAACCTTTGAAATACAAAGATCGGACCAATATTTAGAGAGATATGAATTATTGAATATGAGATCACAAAATGTATGCGAAACTGAAATTGGGAATTTGGTCAATGGATAATAACGAAGTCACGGACAACTCTCCCATTGGTCGTATACAAAGAAATATTAATTTCTGTTTTTCTCCTCAGTACCTTCTCCTTTGGGCACTAATCACAATGCATTATCCTCTTTAAAGGATAGGTCTCTAAAGAGAAAAGACTCTCTTGACTCCAAAGTCATACATTTTAGTCATTGTTGTGTGTTGAAACATCAGGCACTACGTCACAGTGACATTACCGATTCAGCCTATTTGAATGACCATGTTCCTATAACTTTAACAAAATCCATAACTTTCTAATTTTTTGGGGTGAGATTTAATAGCCTCTTTTTTTATTTTTCTGTATTCTTTTAGATTAGTTGTCTATCAAGATTGGATTTTTTCTTTTAAGTTCGACTGTCATCCTGGGGAAAAGGTTGATATAATAGATATTGATGGCTGTTTAAAGAGTTTCGATACTGTTACATTGTTTTTTTCTCCAGATTTTAGATAAAGGTAACTTCCATGAGGATGATGAAGGCAAATAATTATCCCTATGTTCATTCTCTTGCTCTATTTATCTCTATAGGCCTTTTTGATACGTGACTCCATTTAAATCGGTCTCTCGTAAACGAATATTCGGCCTCCATTAACCCTCTGGAATGAATTTATGACTTTTTATGTCCGATCTCAATGCACTTTCATACATGAATAAAGAACTAAATAAAAACACGGTCGAGCTTAGAAAGAAATTTATAAGAAAAACAACCTTAGTAATGAAATAATTTCTTACATAATTAAATTATATTACAAGAAACCTGGTGGAACCATAAAAGCATATTGTTTTTCTTCCAAGCAATTTGGAGAATTAGGTCTTGTTCATACAAAGATGCAGGCGTTGATAATCGGCTAGTGCCCATATAATGAGAAAGAGGCGGAATGCATTAGAAGTGTGGATAGGACGAGTGATTTATTTATCACCACCCTCCGGCAATCGCTAACGTCGTGTATAGAGGATAATATCTCGGTATCATTTTGCAAACTTCTGAAAGTTACAAAAGGCTGCCGATGTGTGCTTTGCATAATAAAGATCTCTCCACAAGTACCAGTTCGAAAGTCCTAGCGACGCACGCATGCTGATTCGGTACAGTGTAAAGTGTCTGTTTATCCGGGATGTTCTCAATTTCCATATCATGCTGGTGTTGTGTTCTTCACGGTCGGCGCCTTTTAGCCTCCTCAGGCAATCTGATATCCTCTCAAGTACGTGTATGGTTAAAGCAAAAAACAAAGAAGAAGAAGAAGATGAAGTAAAAGAGAAAAGAAAAGGTGCTATCGTCGGCAAATAATTAAAAATAGATTCAAAGTTGATTCATAGACAGGTTAAAGCCTATCTACACTAGTCACTTGGCCAGGAGGGATTAGACCTCCCTGCGTGGTCACTAGCAGATGGTTAAATCAGCTCTCAATTAACATAAGAAAAGGGGGACCATGGGGGATCAACGGGCACCGCTTAGGCATTGTTGGCTGTATATACAGGGGCGCAAGTATAGCTACAAGCAGTGCAGTCCCGCATAAGTAAAACAAATCTAGGTGCACTTGCTGGACCATCTGCTGCCAAAATGTAAAACAAGAATCATGAAAGGTTTAGTTGTCATTTGCAATACGAGACAGTCAAAAAAAGTTATATTTAAGGTAGTGATTTATCAGGTAATTATTATCCATAAACCCCAAGGCGCGCTTCACGTTTGTCGGACAAAAACCAAGTTACACCAAAATACCCATTTTTTTGTTTTTAAATACAATCGTGTAGCTAATGTTTGTCTTCAAATAATTTCAAAATGAGACTTGAGGATCGTTTGATAGGAGCCTACATTGCAGAAAACACAGGGGAAAATCAGTGACATATCTTCAAATCTGTTAATTGTAGTTCATGAAATAGAAGTACGTTGATCGGTATAAAAATATGTGGTACTGATGTAGACGACAAAAGTATTCCTAATATCGAAAGGACAAAGCGAAATACGACGACGCACAGTTTATATGTTACTCTATCCTTAACCGAAATTATGCATCAATGTCGAAGAAATGTCTTAATGTTCTAAAATGGATTCTAAAATCAAATACACAATCAGGAGGCTCCCCGCCATTTTCTGCAGCCTTTCAAAATGTCCTTTTGAGGAAGAAAGTGA